TCCGTTCCCCGAGAAGATGAAGACGGTGGGAAGAGGTGTCAGGGGAGCAACAAGAAGCCCTTCCACTGAGCATGAAAAGGGATGAGGAAGAGAGCAGGGCAGCTCACTGGTGTGACAGGTTTTGTTTTATTTCTGTTCTTTATTTTGTTTTTCTATAGGAGATTGAAATTAGAAAATAATCTGGAAGCATAGAATGGTTACGGTGACACGTGAGAGTGCTTCAACTTTTATCCATAGACCCTAGAATAGCTAGCTCTAAGTTAGATGGGAAATATGCTCAAACAAATAAGCTTGTATATGAGGATTGTATGAGAAGAGATGAAAACGGTCTGAAGTAAGCCATGGGCTGTTGACTGCAACTGTTGCTTCAAGCTAGCCAAAGATGATGGTTCCAGTGGGAACATGAAACCTTGATCATACCATTCTATTAAGTTTGTTCTTTGACACTTTTATAAATGTATATAATGCATTCTGCGTCCTCACATACCCACCTAGTCTTATCCTCTACACACTGCTGCTGTCTACCTCCTTCCTCCCTACAGACCCTTTTCCTGTGTTCATGTTTAGTTTGTGTTATGAACCACTGATTATAATCCTGTCCAGCTGAGTGACCATAGGTTTGGAACTATTCACTGGAGTTTGGTGGGTTCACCTTTGGATACAAAAACGGAGGACAATAAATGTCCCTCTCCCCAGAATCAATCTGTATCCAATACTTCATCAGGGAGGGATAGGGCCCAGGGAGCCCCTGCCTCATCCATGGCCGGCTGTTGACAGCCCCAGTCTTGTACAAGTCTAGTGCAGGAAGACACAAGTGCTGTGAGATCATGTTACATTGGCTGTGCCATGCCCTGAAGATGGCATTTCACAGCCCTTCACCCTACCGTACATTCCTATGTTCTTCCCATTTCCTCTTCTAGGACATTTCCTGAGCCTAAGAGGAGGGATACGGACATCCCGCTTGTGGCTTAGCACACAACTTTCATTTATCCTGGTACCTTGAATAGTATACAAGTTTTATTTTTTCTGAGTACCTTGAATAGCCATGAGTCTCTATATCCACCGCTGAATTCATTCACTGTTCACTTTCCAGGCAGGGAGTTCGTGGGACAGTGGAAGAGTGCCAAGAAGACTAAAGTTATCTCCTTTGGGCACCCTTTATATGCAGTTGTGGTGATATATTGACCACTTCTGTTTCATCACACCAGACAAAACAACTACTGAATTCCAGCCAGAGAGGATACATTTTGTACTGCCTCATCTTGATTGGTATTCATGGCTCTTCTTTTGGTCACAGATTGTCATATAAATGTTTTTACTAAAAACAGTTATTGGACATTTCCCCAGGGGCAGGCAATATAGAGGAGAAAAAAATGTTACAAAGGTGATGCCTATTATTTCAGATGCAACTGGACAAGTGGGAAGGCAGAGAGGGTAAATCTTCCAGAGTGTTTAGAAGAGAAAAAGGCATGTCTACATTTGAAACCACACTACTGTGTCCTACAGGATTGGGCCCAGAGGCTCATCGTGGGTGGGACCTTGCTGACAGTACAACTGGGCTTACACAGTATCCAGTCCTCTCCTCACACGAGTCTGCTTTAGCCAGCATCCAGTCTCTTATTTCTGGGAAACCCTCCTGTTGTTACCACTGTGTCATCTCACCTGCCCTATTCTGCTTCAGTATTACTTCCCAATGCTGCTCCTCCCTGTGGCCTCTGAATTTGAAACTAAAACAAACTGCATGTTCAAGAACTGGCTTGTTTCCAGAAAGGCAACTCCTCCACTTCATTGTAAATACAGGGTATGGCAGTCTAGTTTTGTCCAAATTAAAATGTCTAAGCTTTTGAAAACTGGGTTTGCTTTGTAGTTATTTCACAGTTGATAATACGTCTGTATCTTGTTTTCTGGTTTTATTCACACAGCCCTCTGCTTCCTGTCCTGTCCCTGTATTAGATCATGCCATTGTAGAATCAAAAGTTGCCTGTAAAATACTTGGGAATGTTGTGACTTTGAATATGGTGGCTGTCATGCAAAGCTCTAAATGACAACTATAAAGATGGCAGGGACAGGTAGACTGAGCGGAGCTTTCAAAGCAAACAGAGTCCAAAAAAAAAAAAAAAAAAAAAGAACACAAACCCAGGAAAGGCAAAATGTGTGTCCTTTAAAATAATATATTTATCATCAAAGTTTACCAGGCACTTTTTGTTTTAAAGTTTTTACACTTTTAATTTGAGGGTGTACAAGAAGAGGTCAGAGCAGTTTGTAGGAGTCAGGTCTCACCTTTCAGCATGTGGGGATCAAAATCAGGTCATCAGGCTTGGTGGCAGGCACCTTTACCAGATGAGCCATCTTCTGGCCCTTTTAAAGCCAGTAAGTACAGGGTATTCCCAGGTGGTTTCCCTTCCAAGTACTAACCAAGCCCCACCCTTTTTAGTTTCCAAGATCAGGTGAGCTCAAGTGTATTCAGGATGGTGCAGCTGGTAGACCGGATAGACTTTGTAATCTCATTCATCATGTCATGTTTTAAGATGAAGAAACCAACCATTCTAGTATATAAATTTATCTCGTTCTTTCTACTTGGCATCTTTCAAAAAGAAAACAATAAAAGGAGCAGGAACACTTTTGCTACCCTCCAGAATCAATGTAACAGAAACAAGCAACACAGTATTTCTCAGAAGGCATGTTTATCCCACCCTGAGAGAAGATCTGCCGAACTCAATCTACACAGTAGGAGTGCATTTGAAGACTCTTTCCCCTTTGAATTTCATCTTTAACACCTCCATAAATCCACCCTCGCTTTGACAGTGCTTGCTAGTAACACTCCTCCACCTTCAGATAAGGCTCAGCTTATCAAGGTGGCAACTTCTGTGATTTTTCAATCAGAATTTTAAAGTTATTTTTCAAACCTGGCACCGATTAGCAGTGATTTGAACCTCCTTCACAATGGAGCAGGGCTTGCTGTGGCGAAGTATGTGGCTGCAGGGCTCCCGGTGGACTTCCTAGCCTGAGCTAAGCTGCTGCAACATCACCAGGTTCTATTGCCTACATCCCACAGGTGTGAAGCAGCAAGAAAATTCTCACCCTGCATTTCTCATAACACCCCACCTGAAAGCTCCCATGTGGGCTCAGCTTCATGGCAAATCCATTTAAGACTAGGAAAATTTCAAACCTTTTTCCTTATTTTCTTGTCCACCCTCAAACAGAATAATGCATTTTCAGTAACAATGAAGTTTTAAAAAGCAAAATAAAATAAAAAGCACTCTGCCTTGAAGCTGCCATCCCTCCACGATGCCAGTTTCATATAATCTAGCATATAGACAATAAATGAAACTTAAAATCTTCAATATGTGATGGAAATAATATCTCAGAAAGTGCATGCATGTGATAACACATACCCAGGACATAATTCAGAATCTAGGGAAAATGAAAAATTAAAGTATTGGGGCACCGATAATTCTAAATAAGGGGAGACAGCAGATTCAGGGCAGCTTTCAGAAAACAGAATTTTATTTGCTTCAGTCTGAATTTTTACTGTTAAAAAAAACCAATGATGTGCCTGCTTTATTCCAAGCACAATAAGGATGTATTTTACAGATGCGAATGTGTTGGTTGGAGTAAATATTTTTTCAGGATTCTGAGATTTCTGGGATGTCTATATTTCTATATCTCAGAGATCCTTGTTCTCAGTCTAGGAGGAAAATTGCCAGCTGCACTTGACAGTGCTAGGGTTTAAAAGGCACTGAAGAGAGCCTGTCCGATTTACCTGTGTTCCAATTTGGCTGGAAATGGAAGGCAGAGAAATGGTCTAGGTACCGTTCAGTGCTACTCTTCCAGTTGCAATAAACCTCATCTAATACTTTATTACACGCAGAAAACAAAGGAAAAAAATTTCCAAGGGAAGAATCCACAGTCCTCCTCTGGAATGCAACAGTCTCTTTGAATGCTTTTTGTCAGTTTCACAGATTTCCAACAAACAGGATTGTTTCTCGAATCTGATTTTGATGTTAGCAGAACTATTCCCACCCTCCTCTGTAAACAGGGCATATTCATCTCACAGGTGACAATAGATGCTTTTCTGCTTAGTTCAAGCATGACAGATTAAGCCTCATGCAGACCTGGAAACATCACCTTCCCACTCAAAGACTCTTCCAAGGTGGTGTTTGAGGCCCTGGCTGCATTTTTTCCTTAAACTGCCAGGAGATGTGCTGCCGTTGTCTGAGCTACGGGAGCAGTCTTAATTGAGTGCACGGATGGGATTGGCAGGGCCTTAGGGACGTGACCCATCGTCGCTGCTTCCAGGGCATTCGACGAGCTCCACACACTTCACTCCCTTCAGGGTCTTTGCCTTGTACATCGCGGGGCACTTTGCACATGTTTGCTGACTATAAACAAGTCAGGGAGACTTAGAAAAGTGCTTCTCAGACTCTGCCAGGTGAAATGCTGATATTTCTGGTAAAGAGATTAGGTGACAGTGATGGGGGAAATAGCTAAGGAGTAAATTCAAAACGGTAAAATCAGCAAAGGAGTGAAGCAATAAAACACAAGGAAGTGAAGCAGTAAGCCACAATCTGTAACTGATGTGTTATATTAGAAAATGGCGCCTGCAGTAGGATGTTTATGAATGCATTTTGGAGACCAGTATTTCATACAAAGAAACTCACATCTGCTGCTGCCAGAATTATGATAGGACGGTAACAGTTGTCCAGTCTTTGAGAGGGGTGACTGGAGATGCTGGTTGTTCCTGGGGCACTGCATGTACAGCTGTAAAAGAAAAGCTAAATTGTTCTGAGTAGTTTTGTTTTGCTTCTTTAATGTTTGTTTTGCACAGAAATAAATAATAGGCTCTGTCTGAGGATATTGGAAACAGGTTGAATCAAATAATACCAAAGCCTGAATATACTGTTCTCACTTACATGTGAGTTGGTCGCTATTTTATTTGTTGAAACCTTGTCCCTTTGACAACCACATGCATATATATGTCATTTGTCCCCTTTCCCCAGGTGCAAAGAAGGCTACCAAGGAGTACGTTGTGATCAGTTTCTGCCGAAAACAGACTCCATCTTATCAGATCCAAGTAGGTCAAGCCTTTTTCTTTTCTGTAAAGTGATGTGAAAGTGACCCTGCCTCTGAAGGAAGGTCATTAATTCTGCTTAAGTTTGTGTTTCAAACTGCTGTCTCTATGCCAGGGACGGAAAGTGGTTACAGGCATCAGTGTTCAAAGCATGATCAGAATTTACTTAGTCCTAATCCTCTCTCGTGTGACACAGGGCCTTCAGGTTTAATGCCACCCTGAAGCTCAGGTGGGAGCCAACCCCAGACAAACCCTGTTGCTTATTTCGCAGGTTCGTTCCCCAATACCATATCCTGTTACAGAAATAAGGACATAGAGACATGGGTTATTATTAACCATACAGCATCCTTGAACAACTACATTTTCATAATGCTTCTGATACTTTGGTCATTTGTGTTAGTGATAAACATGTTAACATTTACTTTACTGAAATAAGAAAATATGCATATAAAACTGCAGGACACATTTTCAAACAAACTCCCCTCCTCATGCTGACCCATGCTATTTGAATATCAGGTATTATAATACTAGGGAATTTGTTAATTTTTCTTTATGAAAGATGATTTACCACCAAACATATTACTAGCTCCAGTTTGAAGATGGATTCAAAAGTAACTTCTTATATGAAAATGCTCAGTTCTAGTTAAGAGTAAAATTTTTACTTTAGCTATCAGAGTTTTTTGCTCTTTCAATTGCTGCTACAATTGAATCACTGCTAAAGAAAGGAGATTGTTATTGAATTAGCAATTTAGTTCAATGAGGATAATGATAGACATTTCCAAATTGTAAAGGCAATGTTATGGTTTTGTGCATTTTGAACATGCATCACAAGGACATTAGAAAAGTATTTTGCATTGACTATAGATAGACATAGCCCTGCTGGTCCTTGTGGGTTTTCAAACATAAAGAATATGTCTGGTCATCTTCAACATTTTTTTCAAATGTGTATTTTCACTTTTCCTATAAATTTCTAGCTGCATTTCCTTGGTTAAATGCAAATTTATTTAAAATAGATTAAGAGGTGTTTTCCTTTAATTTGAATGCCTTTTATGAGACAGACAAGGTGGTCTCATCCCTTTAATCCCAGCAATCAGGAGGCAGAGGCAGGGGATCTCTGTGATGAGACCAACCTGGTCTCTATAGAAAGTTCCACCTGTTGCGATTCTGTCTCAAAAACCAAAAAAAACAACAATAAAAGAAACCAAAACCCAAAAGTTTTCTCTTTAAAAAACAAACTATATATATATGAGATGATTTTAAGGAAGTTACAAAGCAAATTTGAAACATAATACAGAATTCAGTATACAAATGGTTAAATAATAGGATAAAGCACCCCACTATGTTGTAATTATTCTTGAAATCTTAGTTCTTCTTGAAGGAAGTGAAAGGGGCTAAAAGCCAGCACCCAATCCAGTCTTGGAGACCCTATTCTCTGAATGTTAAGTACTCTTCTCCAGCTTAGTAGAGTGCTCTGTATCTTATCTTGTATTTGTGGCTACTTGATGAGCTGGTGTCTGAAAGTCTATTCAGGACTGTAGTTGGAGAGATATATTTTGGATATTGAAAACCCTGCATAAAGGATGGGCTAGGTGATTCATTCTTCCCCTTTCCTTTATGAAATCTATTCCCAAATGTGTCTAGTTTCTTTTTCTGACTTCCATTACCTTCCCCCTTTCTTTCCACCAGGTAAGTCCCAGGGATGGAACTCAGGTTCTCTAACTTGATGAAAAACACATTTATTGTGTTTTCCTTAGTTCAGAATTCTGTAAAGTAACATCTCACTGTTTAACCCTCAAATTGCTAGAATTCCTTGAAATGCAAAATCAAGGATTTCAAGCATTAAGAATCCATAGATGAATCTCCCTGAGTCATACAATACATCATGCATTCATCCAAGCATATATTTATTTATGAGATCACTAATTCATTTCAGAAACTTTTCTAAGCAACTACCAAGAGCCATCAAATCAGTAAGATTATGTTAATACAACAAGATTTCAGTTCTGAGGACCCTACAGACTAATGAGAGAGAATAACTTGTTTATGTATAAACACAGGTAAGAATTTAGTGTAACATTTATTTCTCCTTTTAAATGATGGTGGCATGTTCATTCAACACCCAAGTCTCAGACTTCTCATCTGAATGATGATAATAATGGTGCCTTTTGTATATCATATGGAGATCAGATATGGGCAAAGTTAGTGCCAGAGAAGTTTTGCTCATGTTTGTAATCATTACAAATATGTATTTAGATGTTCTGCTTGCCAGAAACTGTGCCAAAAGGCTTTGGCTAGATTATTTCATTAAATCTTCACAACCACAGACTAGTGTATTGGAAATGGCTCACATATTATAGATGTGGAAATGAGACCTCAGCGATGCTAAATAACTAGCTCAAAGTCATGCAGCCTGTTAGCACTGTAGTCTCACTTCTCTTCCAAATGACTCTAGGGCCTGAGCCCCCTACTGTAGGGCCATTTCCTCCCTCTTCTGGAACCCTTCCCCCACTGCTTATTTCCAACAGGACATTTATCACTCTAAATTTCATTGACTGAAATTCAATGACCTGCCGCCAACATCATTCTGAGGAACAATATTTGCACAATTTTCATCTCCTAATGCAGCAACTTGAGCTTCCATTGAGATTTAAGTCCCTAATGAAATTTCCTTGTCAAAATTCTCACTGAAGGATTGTTTAATTTGCCAGTCGTGATATCTTGGAGTGACTTCATGCTTGGGAAATAAGCATTTCTCCAGCACTCTACATTTCTCCTTCTTTGTCCCTGCTCTTCTTCCTGTTTCCCTTTCTTTTGCTTTGCTCCATGCATGCTTTCTAATGACTGAAATCCCAAAACTACAGAGTGTGGCCCTGCTCTTTTATTCTCCCGTAGACAATGCAGAGCTGGTCAGAAATGGGCCCCTTTGACAAGACATTCTGAAAAAAACAAATGTCATGTTACTCTATTGGAGAAAAGGATATGACGATGTTACAAGGAGAGCTTCTGTGGTTGCTCTGATAAATATATGGGCCCTAAAATGTGCCATTCTAGAAACTCATCCTTTCTGCCTACTCCCCCAAAAACCTATAACAAACTCCATTGTAGAGACCATATATTAATAAAATTGAACTTAAAATGTGTTTGGATGTCTGTTTTTGGTGGAAAACATACTTATGTGTATGACTGCCCTTCCTATAGATTTAGTATACTGCAAGTCAGTGTCACATCACTAGATTGAGTAGTATCAATTTAGGTGTAAGATAGGAATGTGGTAAGATAAATGGACTTTGGTTCAGATCAAGAGGAGGTGACTTTCTGTGGAGAAGGCTGAACCACTTCATTGTAGCATCACATGTCTATACCGGTCTCCTGCTATTGACCCTGCACATGGATAGCAGGGGTCAGCTTCCCCAACCTTCTTGAACACTTCTAATACAGTTATTGTTATTCCCTATCAGAAAGGGTCAGGCTACAGATTTCTTCCTGAATTCTCCTTCTGATCATGCATACCCGCCCAAACCAGGTATTATCCTCAGCCTTGAAGCAAAGCCAGATGGAGCTAGAGAGCCACAAACTGGTGAGGATTTGAGCATAAAATGTCCCTCTTGTGTGTATGTCAATGTGAGTTCTCACCAGAATCCTGCACATTGTGAGACTGGGAGGGGTTCCAAGAGTTAGACTCACAGAAGAATTAGGGAAAGGGTGGGATAAAGAAGCTGCCATCTGCAAGAGGGTCCTCCTCCAGCCATCTGGACATCCACGTGCCCTCCTTGCTCCACTAGCATCCAATAACCCACATTCCCATGGCTGTGAAAACAGCTGACAAGGCTGTGGGCCTGAGCTTTGGCAAGCATCCGATTCAGCTTAAACCCTTGAGTCATCTGCATTGGAGGATGGAAGACACCCTCTGGTCTAGTTTGTTACCAGACATTTTGGAAAGGCCCACTCAGGGTGCCACATGTTGCCAGAGAAATCAGAGTTCCTTTTCAGGGTTCTCATTCTCAGCATACTTCAAAGGAAGCTTAAAGACATTTTCATTAGAGTTTAAAACAAAAGCTGACATAACAGTCAAGCTATAGATCTCAGCATCTGCCTGGAAGAGGAAGACGGAGAAGAAGAAAGGTAGCAGTACCACATGGCAGAAGGGAAGAAGGAATGGCTTCAGAGAAAAACCATAAGCACCCCAGAGTATCTGGGGCAGCACACACAGGCTCTGACCAGCACACAAAAGAAAACAACAGAAAGGAAGAAGGAAAGGTTAAGAGAGCTGCAGAGCTGTGTGGCTCCATATGGATGCCACAGAGGACTGGGTTTCTGGGAAGGAAAAGCATATTATCTCATTGAAAAGATCATTATTGCTCTCATCTCGTTAGCATGGCTTAAGACTAATCAACCTTTCTGACATGACCTCTATGCCAGGTTATTGGCAGGTCTGACTAGATTAATTCTCATGTTTTCAGCGACTCAGAATGTCAGTTCACCACGTAGGGCCAGAGAAATAATTTAGGTTTTATTTTTTTGACCAGGAGAAAGTATCTTTGCCTTAGTGGGCATCAGCAGAGCCCTAACAAAGACTACTGTAACATTCTCCCTTCTAAAGAAGTAACACCAATATAAATTTTTTCGATGGGTTGAAATTGATCAATGGATATAACCCATTTTTTACCAGAAAAATCTAGAAATCCAACTCTTAAGCTGTTTAACAAAAAGAATTAGTCTCTGGCCTGGAGATCTGGTCCCTCCTTCATGTGTATTCCCCAGATGAGGATGCACGTTTAGGAGAAGATAAAAAAAAACTATAGCTTTCATCTGGCATTCTTGTCCAGAGGATCAAGGCCTTCCCTGAACCTTCTACTTTGGTTTCTTAGCCCTCGATTTTCTGTTCAGTTTGTCCTCCCTCCTCATCAATACAGGCTAACATTCATTTGCCCTGGGATATCTTTGCATCTTTAAACCTAGGCCCTTTTCTCGGAGCATCTAGAAGATGCCAAGAGCCTGGTCTG